CTTGAATTAAAAAATAACCTTATTTTCACTGGTCTATATGAAATCATGTGATTTTCATATAAACCAGTGAAAATAAGCTTGTCGAATTTGCACGGGTTGTTACATAAGACCCGTGCAATAATTATTGTAATATCTTATATGTTATTGTATTGAATAAAATATAATAGTTGTAAACATTAGAATATATATTATTCTTATAGATCCTAATGAGTTGATATTATCAGAAACACCAAGCGAAGGTGTATTAGGTTTACCAGTAGGTGTAGAACTAACAGGTTTACCGGTTTGCGCAGAAGTACTTGAACTATCGGTTTTTTGCGCAGAAACACTCGATTGAGTTTGGATTGATAAAGAAGACAAAGTTAATTGCAATGTACATCCCCCGATTGCTTGGGTAAGATCAGTAATTACAGATCCAATAGAACCAGTACATGACCAACCACCATTATCCCTAAAGCACATTAGACTATACTGAGTGCTTGCACAATTCGTATTTGCCTGATTGCTACTAACCTAATAATTTATTTAAAACAGAAATAAAAATTAATAATGTTGTTATTTCAAATATGTGAGTTACAAAATTAATAAAATTTTATGGTTGTGAAAACAACAATGAATTACTTACCTTCACATTGACTGGTACAATGCATGCATTGCTATCACAACATAACCAACTAAAAGTAGGAGCTGTTGTTGACCTAACCAAAGCGTTTCCTATTGCGTCATAAATAGGACAAGTGTCCACAGTAGTATTAGTCGGCGGTGTTGTTCCTACGATTCCACCACATTCTTCATCTGGAAGAACACCTGGAAGCGAATAAGTATAAACACCTTTAACAACACAAACTTTCGATTGTCCAACTTTGATACATTGACCATCAAGATCTTTGGTAAAAGGACAGTTGGTGCTTTAGTACCGCACTGAGTACTAGAACAGCAAAAGTTTTGTTTATCAACTATATTAGCAACATATGACGATAGAGTGTTATATATGCTGCTAGACAAACAAGCACTAAAGTCTGAACCAGCTTGAGCCAGTAAAGCATCAACTAGAATAAGTATGAATAAATTTATGGCATTCATGATTAATTAAAAAATTAATTAATAATAATTATTTATCAATTTCTTTTCTAAGACGAAGATTTTTATAAGTTTATTTAAGGTATTACAGGTTTTGGCCACCTATTTTAGACAAATTAACAATCAAATTCAGACATAATAATAATCAAATTTTAACATAATAACAATCAATTTTAGACATCATAGCAATCAATTTCG